TGTGTGTGTGTGTGTGTGTGTGTGTGTGTGTGTGTGTGTGTGTGTGTGCCCGCCCTGTGGGTGTTGGGAGCCCGAGAGGACTGGGGTTGTGGATGGGTGTACAGCAGAGGCAAAGCCACCAGGACTTAATGGTGGACTCGGGGTCTATCAGCGAGAGGAAGAGGGGTTCCGGTGGTCGCAGAGTCTCTCTCCAAAGACCCCTCAAGAATGAAGGTCGCTATGTGAGATGGGGAAGGTGGGGGAAAGAGGGTTGGCACCCAGGGTTCAGTCTTGGGTGGCAGGACGGTCCCTTGTGTTAGGTCTTTGAACAAGGTGACAGAGTGTATTTCTTTCCAGAGCTGTTCACTCTCTCGCATTTCTCCCTTCCCCCAGGCTCACACGGCTGTCAGTTACTGACACCTGTGAAGGGATTACGGGCCGGGGGAGGGGAGGAAGAACCTACAGCCCGTAGGTACTTGAGTTACACACCCTGGCACAGACAGTGGGCACCGGAGCCTCTGTCCTGTCTGGACTTCATCAACATGGGCTGCTCCCAGCGAGAAAACGCACAGCTTTCTTCATGAAGCGTCCCTCTGGTCATCTAAAACTGTTCCAAAGGGCCGAGAGGACACGATTCCAATCTGTGAAGGGGTCCCCGTGAATTCTTGCCGCCTGCTACCATGAGCTGGAGACAAAGATCATGCTCTGCTCTGGGAAGATTAGAAACATCTCAGGATAACAGGTAAGGAAAAGTTTTTTTTTTTTTTTTTTTTTTTTTTGTTGTTGTTGTTGTTGTTGAAAAAATTCTAGAATTCTCTTAGCTTGGGGTATAGGCATGGATCTGTTTACTGTAAAAACAGGCTATGTAAGGAAGGTAACTGTTTATGTTGTCAAGGAAGATGGAGGGACATCTGTCCCATTCACCGTGGCCAGCTCCCCCTGAGCCTGGCAAGAACATGCGCAGTAACGCTTCCAGCTCTGTGTGTTTAACTGACTGTTGCTATGGAATTTTTCCTCAGAATCAGACCCTCTGCCTTGATAACTTAATTGCACACACACACACACACACACACACACACACACACACACACACACACACTTGAACTGGAGTCAATCCTGAAAATAAGAGAGCTTTTGATTAATGCAAAATTAAAGCTCTTTCAGGAGCATTAATTGGATGAAGAGAAGACCATCCAAAGAAGTGTAGGGCTGTCCTGAATGTCTACAGATGCAACAGCCATGGCCTCAGAAGCTGCTTGCTCAGGGTGCTAACAGTCATCACAGATGTTTTTATGAGCACTTTTTATGTCAGATTCTAATCTGACCACGAGGATTCTGTGTGTGTGTGTGTGTGTGTGTGTGTGTGTGTGTGTGTGTGTGTGTGCGCGCGTGTGTGTTGCCCTATCATGCATCTATTCCACATTTACAGGAAAATAAATTCTAGAATATTTGCAAGGCAGTCTTCCAGCCCACCCTCCTCACTTGTCAAATGTTGATGAAATACTTCTTAAAAAGTGTTTAAGCACCTGGGAGTGCAAACCCGTAATTCTAACACTCCAGAGGCAGAGGCAAGGGGATCTTGAGTCTGAGACCAGTTTGACCTATATAAGATCCTGCTTTCAAAATAAAATAAAATCTATGTCTTCTGAGGTGATGCGTCCTCACGGTGGAAGAAAAATGTTTGTTCTGACTGTTGCAACCATAATATTAAGTTAGTGATAAGTCCACCAACAATGTTCCCGAAGCAGTGAGCAATTTCTATTTTCCCAAATAAGTTAAATTAACCATTGAATTATGGCTACACATCACCTGATCTGTGGAGGCACAGTCACAGGCTCCCAACTATGTCACTCTGCCTAAACATTTAGAGAAGTACTTATCTCCCAACATCAACCTGGGTGATGGTGCTTTCCCGGCCGTGAGATGGAAGCTGGGACATCTCCACCTAAATTCAGTGAAGAGATAGTGTCTCCTTTTTGTCTCAGACACAGCAAGCTTACCCAAAAGCCGCTCTGTGGGCGTCCATTCAAATACGATGGGCCAAAGCTGAGTCACATGGTCATGTCTAAAATGAGACGCTCTGAGAAGTGGGAAGAAGAAGGATAGGAAAAGCACAAGGGTAAGACGTGACATTCTGTAGAAGTGTTCATTCTGAGGTGGAGAGAAGGCAGTGTTTACCATACCTTCAGAGGGGGTAAGACCATCCATTCTCCCCAACTCAAACATATCCCTACACATCTTTGGGTGGACTTCCCCAAGCACAGAAGAAGTGGGATAAGAATCTTGCCAGTTTCTCTGAGGGTCACCAGCCTTCACGGTGCTCCCAGCAGTAACACTGTGTCTTAGGACACAGTACATAGTGAACAGTCGATGCGAATTGAAATTCTAATAACGCATGAAAAGATTCATTTAGTTCACAGCAGTGTTAGGATCAACAACGGTGCATGCTCAACAAAGATCACCCCTTGGCCTCATCACCTCATTGTCTAGAAGATACCAGGAGTGCGCATAGGGCCAAGCCAATCCTTACCCCTCAAACCAGGAGCAGAGAGCAAGGGCCAGACTCGCTCCTTTCCACAGAGCCCTCTGAAGAACTCAAGCGCTCACCTCATGCCTTTGATGACCAAAGGTTCCACACCACTTCCATCACCACCACCCTTCAGATGGGACTTTTGGTCTCAATGGGCCTTTGGGGACAAACCGTATTCAAACTGGATCACTGATGACCCTGATATAAGCAGTTGGAGGGCCGTTCTAGTCAGCTATATCTTCTTCTTTTTTTTTTTTTTTTTTTTTTTTTTTTTTTTTTTTTTTGGTTTTTTGAGACAGGGTTTCTCTGTGTAGCTTTGCGCCTTTCCTGGAGCTCACTTGGTAGCCCAGGCTGGCCTCGAACTCACAGAGATCCGCCTGGCTCTGCCTCCCGAGTGCTGGGATTAAAGGCGTGCACCACCAACGCCCGGCGCAGCTATATCTTCTTAAGAAGCATCTACAAAACCTTGACTGCATTCAGCGGTGGGAATGCATCCATTCGGCAGTGGGCGTGTATCTGTTCAGCAATGGGCATCTTGGCTGGAGTGACTGGTCTAGACTAGGGAACTCTCCAAGCTGAGGTCTGGGGGCTGGACTTGGTGGGGATGGTGGCTGTCTACCATGTGTTCATTTGCATTCCCCTTGAAGGTGCAGAGGTTCCCTAGGCAGGCTCCTCTCACAGGGATGACAGAGGCATAGCAGGGCAATTCTTGAAGCCTTTTAAAGTCTCGACTCAGAGCTGGCTCTCTGCCACTTTGTCAAATTAGTCAAAGCAAGCTACAAAACCAAGCCCCTGGTCAAGGGCAATGCCAGACGTCTTTCATGGGAGGATGCACAGAGATACTGGCAAGGGACATGGACAGAGAGAAGGTGGGGAACTGGAGCGGTGATACCTCCACCTGCCCGGGGATACACAGCGTGTTAAAGACAACAGAAGAGAAAGCCCCAGCGAGTGTGAAGCCAGGGTGCCCAGGGCAGACCTAGAGTGCTCTCTTTCCACAGCTGTGACTCATTGCGGTTCAAACTACACCCTGCAGTCTGTTTAGAATAGGTTGCCCCAATGCTGGCTCCATCCCACTCCCGTCCATTTGTTATTTATTCAGTGATGCCGGACGGCTCTCCAGGCGGGTGCTCTGCTCTGGATGTTGATTCCTCTAGTGTGGTTGTTATGGGAAACATTTCATTTCACATCTGCTGATACAATTTGCTGTCTCTCAACTAAAAAAGGCGAGGTGGAGAAAAAGGAAATTCATATTCTGCTGGCTGTAAAGGATAACGATTAATTTATTCCAAGCTATATACAAATCAGACTATCGTCTTTCAGACAGAATCAATAATACAATTTTAAGCCCACACACATTTACAAATGCTAGCACTCCAGTGCAGCTGGGTTGCCATGGGCAACCAGGGCATGCCAGCTCATGATCTGAAGCAGGCTGCTGTCTCCCAGCCTTGCGAGCACATTTGGCAGGCAGAGTTCTAGGGAGCCCAGGGCGCCCGGGTTGGCTCTGATCTGGCTGCCGCACAAATGCACCCCTGTGATGGTTTGGATTAGCTCTTGTCTGAATTGCTTAGCGCTCTTTAAGCCCCTCGTGCGCTAGCTTGCTTTGATATCCTTTTTCTGCAGGCTGGGCATGCGCAGAGGGTAGATGAAGGAGCTGTCCGGGGTCAGCAGGCGGTGAGAACAGGTAGAGAATAAATGAACGGCACAGGCGCTCCGTGAAGCCTGAGATAGAGCTCAGCTCCGTAGGCTGGTTACTCACTGGCAAGCAGGGCCAGTGAAGACCGCGGTATGGCCAACCACCTCCGCAAAGCCTCTCCACAGAGGAACTGATCTGTCTTTTGACGCTTAAGACAAGGAGAAATGGGATTACAAACTTCTTTTGCCTTGCTGGGCTGCCAAAGAGAAAACTTTCTCTCTAGTATATGCTTATCAAAAGATCCAGTAAGCAAGATCTTTGCACTGTAGTTGTAGCAGGGAACTGGCAGACGCCACTCTAAGGACAGATACCTAGGGGGTTCCGCGTTTCAGAAGAGAAGTCTACAAACCCACACTCTCTCTGTTTCCTTAAGATGCAAACTCTCTCTGGGTGAACCAGCCATCCTAGGCACCACTGGGGATTCCGTGACACTGTGGCAAAACGAACTGTAATTAGGATTATTGTTTAAACATCCCGTCATTTATATCTAATTACTATGTACTACAATAAAAATTATCATGAAATACGTGTCAGATTCACTTTGTTGCTGACTTTATTTAATTACAAGCCTTCACTTTCACAGATTCTTGCCTGAACGCATCCTGGCTTCCTTGCTATTTTCTGTTCAGAAGGGAAACTACTTATGAGGACCTGGGTATTAGGATCACCCCCCCCCTCCCTCCCCCTCTCCCTCCCTCCTTCCTCCCCACAGTGAGAAGGGCTCAGCTTATGCTTCCCCTTCTTGGTCATGTAAGGTGGAGACCCTGCCCCCACACCCCTAGAAGCCTTTTTTGAATTTGAGAGTCCTATCTAAACCCATGGCTTTCCATGCTGCTCAGGGGGTTGCACATGCCAGGTAGGGTGAATCTGAGTCCTTCAAGGTCCCCTAAAGGAACTATGTCTGTCTGGTGTCCGTGCAGCATCCTGAAACCGGCAGCCATCCTGGGGGAGCCTGTGATGCTTCGAGCTCAGACATCTCCCACAAGGCCTCAGCCTTCAGGGGAGCCTGGACTTCAGAGTGTCCAACCCCCCGCCTGGCTGCTGCGGGCCTGCCTCACTGGAGAAAGGATGCGGAGCCATTCAGTCAGCACCCAGGAGCCCACACTGAGGAAGACACCCCCGCACCATGCAGACCTGACCCAGAGTCTGAGGGCCGGAAAGGTAAGAAAGCAATCAGTAGATTGCACACTCATCCGCAGAGTGATCTCTAGCAGAGCTTGGGACTGGATCCCCTAGGTGTATCAGGAGAATCAGCAGACTGCACATTCATCCCCAGAGTGATCTCTAACGGAGCTTGGGACTGGATCCCCTAGGTGTATCAGGAGAATCAGCAGACTGCACGCTCATCCCTAGGGCGATCTCTAGCAGAGCTTGGGACTGGATCCCCTAGGTGTATCAGGAGTTTACCAACTGCCAGCAGCACAGTAAAAACCTGGGGCCGTGATCAGATCCCTCTGCATCTGCTTGGAGGCCACCCTTTGCTGCTGGAACACCCCCAGGGCCCTGCTGGCCTCTAATGCTTTCTTCTCTTCCCTTCAGATGCCCACTGTCTTAGGGTTTCTATTGCTGTGAAGAGACACCATGACCACAGCAACTCTTATAAAGGAAAACATTTAATTGGGGCTGGCTTACTGTTTCAGAGGTTTAGTCCGTTATCATCATGGCTGGACGTAGTGGTGTGCAGGAAGACGTGGTACTGGAGGAGGAGCTGAGAGGTATACATCTGGATCCATGGGCAGCAGAAGCAACTGTGTGTCCCACTGGGTGTAGCTTGAGCATATGAGACCACAAAGCCCGCCCTCACAGTAACACACTTCCTCCAAGGCCACACCTCCTAACAGTGCCACTCCCTATGGGCCAAGCATTCAAACACATGCGTCTATAGAGGCCATACCAATTCAAACCACCACACCCACCACAGCTTTCCAAGACCCAGCTCCATTTTTTTTTCTTTCTTTCTTAGCTCGTAGGATAAATTACAGCCATGCTGGTACTGTATGGGTCTAAACAAATTCCAGTGACCCAAGTCCCAAACATTTATGGAGAGGATACGCGAGCTTAGCCCTGGAGAAAACCACGCTTAACAGACTCTAGCCCAGAACTTGGCCTGGCTAGCACAGCTTTGCCTCAAAAGTAGTTTTAGGTGACAACATGCTAAGATTTTAATAAGTAAATGGGGGGGGTTGTTTAATGGTACAGCACTTGCCTAGCAAACACAAGGTCTTGGGTTTGGTTCTGAGCAAAGACAGAAGGAATGAAAGAGAGGTAGGGATCTTTTTGTTAGTGTACATGTCTGTCCTGGTTGGTTCTTTTGTTATCTTGACATAAGCTAGAGCCATCTGGAATAAAAGGAACCTCCGCTGAGAAAATGCCTCCTTTAGATTGGCAAGCCTGTGGAACATTTTCTTAATTTATGATTGATGTGGGAGGGCCCAGCCCACTGCGGGTGGTGCCACCCTTAGGCAGGTGGTCCTGGGTTACATAGGAAATCAGGCTGAGTAAGCCACAGAGAGCAAGGCAGCAAGTTCCTCTGTGGCTTTTGCTTCGGTTTCTGCCCCTAGGTTCCTGTCTTGAGTTCCTGCCCTGACTCCCCTCAAAGAATGTAATTGGGACATGTGAGCCAAAGAAACCCTCTGCTTCCTGAGTTGCTTTGGGTAATGGTGCTTATCACAGCAGCAGACCGCAAACTAAGACTGACCACTGGGGTGATAACAAGCGTGTCATATCCAGGATTTAATGATTACTCTTGTTCGGAATGATTCCAAGGAAGATAGCATTTTACATAGTATCTTCAATCAACACCATTTAAAGAAAAATATCTGGGAAACAAGGCACAAATAACGAGATCTGTGCAGATGATGGACTCTTCAGCTGGGTTTTAGGAGGCAGGAAGCCATGTAGACAAAAGCCATGTGCATGCTCCCGAAGAGGAGAAAATGACCAAGAGACCTAGAAAAGGCTAGGGAGGGTAACATTGGAGATGGGCCTTAAGGGATGTCTAGGAGTTTCCTCTGACGGTGTGGAGCAGAGGAAACAGGACAAGTAACTAACGCCCACAGCAGCTGAGGAGCAGAAATGGGGCCTGTGTTGAAGGTGAGACGGGGGAGGAAAGGCGGTCGGCACTGGGTTAGCTCTTCCTGCCGTAGTCATAAGAGACAGTACAACAAGAGAGGCTTTCTTATGGGCAGGGTCATCAAACTGTGGGTAAGATCGGGGGTCAGGAAATTGTGGGACTCTGGCTCCCTACATGAGTGCCGGGTCAGGGTGTGAAATGGACACAGTGAAAACCCCTGTGATCTATTGCCTCATGCTGAGACTCCCAGCCACGGTGGGTCTCCTGGGAATCTGTGGTCGTCTCTCCAGTTGGCTCATACAGCTGTCATTCATGCCCCCCCCAAACAGCTTTACTGTGGTATGATTTGTGTACAATAAACTGCACATGTCTGGCAGACACAATTTGTTGAATTTGAACATAAGCCGAGGCCTGTGAAATTGTCCCCACAGTCAGGGTAAGCGGCATCCATTAACCCTAAAAGTCCCCCGTGGCCCTTCTGTGTTTGGGTTAGGAACATTCACTTATAAGGGTCTCACTTCATCTGTTTACTTGTTGGTTTGTTTTTAAGAAAAGGCTTCATGTAGCTCTGGCTGTCCCTGAATTCCCTATGTAGCCCAGGATAACCTTGAATGTCCGATTCTTCTGTCATTCCATCTTTGTGCTGAGATTACAGGCATGTGCTACCACACCCGGTTTGTGAGGTGCTGGGGATAAAACCCAGGGCCCCAGGCATGATGGGGGGCATTCTACCAACCAAGCTGTCCCAGCTAGAGGCCCTCCAATTTGGAAAATTTTTAGGTGCACAGTCCAGTATGGTTCTGGCCACTATACCGTGCTACACAGCAGATCGCTAGAACCAACTCATCTTTTGGGATGGTGGTTTCATGGGGCTCACGAGGGGGTCCTTTAAAAAGCTAAGATGAGAAATGGCATAAGATCCGGTGATTCTACCCTTGGGTTCACCCAAAAAAGAATTAGAGGAGGTTTCTAAAGAGAAAGATGAATCCCCATGGATACAGAACCATTCAGGCATAACTGGGGGACGGAATGCCATAGCCTGGATTTTGTCTGTGGACTGTACTTCCCTGAGACATTTTGCTTACAGCCGCACTGACTGAAATATGATAGGGTCAGGAATTCCCAGTGTGGGGGTGTGGGAGCCAGCACATAGTCGAGAGTGTCGGGGCTGTGGGATGATATCATTGCAAAACAAGAGAGACAGCCTAAAAATGGCACGGATTTAAATCCACTGTGGGAAAACAAGAGCGCAGGAGCTATTTCAATTTTATGTTAGAACAGACAAGAGCCAGAGTTGTTCATAGGGCAGAATGTTGGCTTTGGATATAGGAAATGGAAATGTCGTCAGACTCCTGTCTCCACTGACAGATGGCAGCAAAGAGCCCAGGAAGAAAGTGGGCTGGAGGGCCTGGCCCAGGTTTATAACTAGGACCTACCCACGTGTGAGCCGGCTCCGGTTTATGACGAGAAACACCCGATTCCCTTCATCTCTGAGGAACCCACACTGGTTCCCACCACCCTAGGCCAGCTTCTTCATACTGCACTCCACCCTTCCCCACACCTTGCTCCCAAGAAATTTCTAGAGGGTTCTCTCTCAGGCCTTTGAAGCCAGGCTGAGTAGCTAAATAGCCAGAAGTGTGGAAGCAGCTGGACTATCTGTCCCAGCCAGTGGGAGATCTGTCAGGGCGGGGGCCGTCCCTGGCCGAGGCACACACAGCGTGGTGTTCCACTGTCCCAGGTGGCTTGTGGTGCTGTAACAAAACCCCTGACCTGCAATATACAAAGAGGGTTGTTTGGCTCGTGATTCCTGTGGCACCAGAGCCCTCGCAGGTTGCATTCTACCACAACAAGGAAGAAGCAGCAGGCAGCATGCAGAAGAGCTGATTCCTCTCTCTCTAGAACTAACCAAATCACGTGAGCACCCCTCCAGCTCCTTATTTTCCACTAGGCTCAACGCTTAAAGGTCCCACAGCCTAACATTGCCACACTGGGGTCCTCCGGTAAAAGGATCCCATCCAGACCGTGGTATCCTCTTCTTCAGTCTGTCAGACATGGTTGGTGACGTGATTGGTGACCCGTGGGGCTAGATTTTCAAAGGTGGAAGGAATCAGATTGAATTTCCTTCCTTTGGAGATAAATAAAAGCCAGAAGCATGAGATCTCTTCAGTTCCCTCGGGTGGTTTTTGAGCAACTATGTGCAGCTCCATCCCTGATGTGTGGGGCTCCTACCCTCCTCTAGGCCGTCTTGCAGACTCTTGTCACTCTTGTTTCTGGGGACAGGTCTGTCAGGGTGTGGGCAGCTAGCCAGCCACCATCATGGCCAGCACTATTGAAGATTGGTCCATTAGTTACAGCTAGGAACAATGACTCCTGAAACGTTCCCCGAAGGAGACAATCACGGTTGTACCCCTGAAGTCTTAAAGGGGTAAGGTCAGATCCTGGAGTTGGGGAAGGGGGTACAGAGGCAAACCCAGGAAGCTTGGAACTGTAAGCTTTTCTCACATATTTGTTAAGTGCCCGCAATGCCCATTGTTTACAGCTGAGAGCTCCATGGTAACTGAGTTCCACCCACTAACAGCACAGTCTTTCTATAGAGTGTTGCTGGAGGGCTTCTCTCCAGGTTCCCCAAGCCCCGCAGTCCCACAATCCACTTATAAAATAATCACTCAGACACTTATATCACTTATAAACTGTATGGCCGTGACAGGCTTCTTGCTAACTGTTCTTTTGTCTTAAATTAACCCATTTTTATAAATCTATACCTTGCCA